GCCCGCGCCCCCTCCTGCCGTTGTGGTCGGGTGGTCTGCATTGGGACCGTCCAGGGACCGTCCGCAAAGGCAGGAGTGTCCTGACTGCGCTGTCTAAAGTGGCACCCGTGGCCCCGTCGTGGCTACTGAGAGTTGACATGGAGTGGAACGGCCGAGGGACTGCATTTCAAACTTTATTTCATTTTAATTCTTTCTCTTTTTTAGTGTTTCTTGCTATCGGGCACATGCACCCATCTGCTCGTCCCTCCATTTTCATTCTTTAACGGTTTATTATATTTTATTATTTTTAGGTTGTTGCACTAGGGCTCTCTCACTAGAGAGAGGAGAGAAGAAGAAAGTGAGAAATCACCCCAAGGGATGGCCACACTGCAATCCCTTGTCCTCTAGTCTCCTCTCAGGATTTTGGGCATGCACACACACTCCTGGTGATAGCCTCTGGGTATGGGACTCAAACTGCCATCAGCCACGTGGGAGTCTAGCGCTCTAACCACCGTGCCACCTGCTGGGCAATCATTTAAACTTTTGAAGTTTATATCTTCCATGGGGAGTGTGGGGAGAGACAGGCATCCTTAACAGGTATTCCTGCCACAGTCCCCCTGGGGCAAGCAGAATCCTGACATGTGTGTGCTTAGCGTGTACAGGGAGGGCTGGGTGTGAACCAGGACCTTCCCTTGGGGAAGGTGCTTGGCAATGGCGGCAGGGCCCTGAGGTAACTTGCGGGGCGGGGTGGGGGTGGGGCTGCTGCTCCCTGACCACAATCAGGCGCCCGTTGACTTGGTGCTGGCGCACGGTGCACTGGCGACCAAGGCCTTGCAGGCAACAGCATGCTCAGGGTGTGGGCAGGGCGCTGGAGCCAGGAGGCGGAGCCCGGGCTGGGGAGGAGAAGCGCGTGGGTCCTGGGCAGAGCCTCTGGGTGCAATGGTGGAGCGAAGGGGTGAGCGGGCGGAGCAGGTGCGGGAGGGTGGAGCGGAGGGGCGAGGGCGGAGCCCGGGAGGAAGGTGGAGCGGAGGGGCGAGTGGGCGGAAGTGGACCTGAGGGGTAGAAGGCTCAACCCGGGGTGAAGGTGGAGCCTAGGGGGCGTGGGCAGAGCTCCAGGAGAAGGTGGAGTGTAGGGGGCGTGGGGAGAGCCGGAGGGGTGGGGGTGCGGAGGGGCGAAGAGGCGAATGGGTGGGGCAGGGCCGGGAAAATGGAACTTAGGGTGTGAAGGCTGAGCCCTCAGGGCAGGTGGAGCAAAGGGGAGAAGGCTGAGCCTGGGGAGCAGTACCAGCATAGCGGGCCAGGGCAGAGCCAGGGAAAGGTGGGACGGAGCAGGGGCGGAAACGTGGAACCTAGGCGGTGGGGGGCGGAGCCCTGGGTTAGGTTTAAGTGGCTGCAGGGCTGAGCAGCGAAGGATGGAAGAACACCTGAGGCTGCCAGGTAAGGCCCATTGGATACAATGGAGCCCAGGGGATCAACCGGCCCGCCTCGGATTTGCAGGGCCTACAGTTCTCCCTGCGCACGCGCGGCTGAGGGGTGCCCACGCTTTGCACGCACCCCGCCAAGGAGACCCCCAAGGCCTGGACCCACGGGCCAACCTCCACGGCCAGGCGGGGAGCTCCCAGCCAGACCAGCTCCCGCGACGCCAGGGGAACACTGCCTGCCCTTGCCAACCAGAAAGAAAAGAGGGAAGCGCGCTCTCGCCCTGAAACACCCGGCCGCAGGGGCGCCCGCCTGCATCTGGGCTTCTGCTGGTCACCCGCTGGCCACCCCCTGTCCTGCCCATTGCAGGCCACTACTCCAGGGAAGAAGGGGTTAAGCCGGGCTCCATGTGCTCAGAGCAGTGCTCCCTGGGGTGGAGATCTGAAATCCCACAGAGCAGACTTCAGCTCCTTCAGGCTGGAGCTCCAGGCCAAGTTTGGACATTTTCTTTCCCTGGCCGCACTGTGCCCTTTAACGTCAGGGAAACGCTGGAGCGCGGCTGGCCGCTGCTGCTGTTTGAGGGTGTCCAGCGCTGGCTCCAGGGCCGACTCCCCAGCCACAGGCCTTCTGGAGGGCTGTGCAGGGCCCGAGGGAAACCCCCAGGGGGACTGAGAATTTGAGTCTGTGAAGAGCCCCACCCAGGCCCTAGGGGAAGGGGAGGACTGACAGGTTCTTTCCCTGAGAGCATCCCTCCTAGGCCAGACCTGGCAGGCCCCCGGGCCTCAGAGAGGCTGCTGTAGATGCCCCTGCAAACCTCCCCAGCAGGGCCGCTTGCCCCCACCCCTGAGAGCCTTCTCCAGACCGCCAGGAAGTCTGTTCTGAGGTCCAGGATTGTGCCAGAGCGAGGGGACCGCGCCCTGCGGACTGAGCACTGCCAGAAGTGACCAGGAAGCGCACCCGCCCAGGAGCAGTGGGCACCCAGTGGACACTGGGAGTGGCTCAGGGACCCTCCGCCCCTTGCAGCCAGCCCACTCCTCCCTGGAGCCGTTGGTCCCCGGTCCTCCCTGGGGAAGACGGACGCAGAATGTTGAGGAGGGGGCAAAGTGTGCAAAAAAAGGTGGCAAGAGGGGGAGCTGGAGCGAGGAAGCCCGGCAGAGGCACGCGGGGCGTCCGCGTTGTCAGACCACGCCGGCCCTGTCTGCTGGTCCGCGCTGTCGGAAAGCCCACCGTCCTGCTGCGCGGCTGAGAACGTACAGCCCAAATAAGCGGGTTTTTGGGTGGGGACGGTGGCGGGCTGTCACTTCAGATATCAACCAAACTGCCCCACGGAGGCCACTCCGGAAGCACACGAGTGTTGTAAAGGCGGGAGAGCGGGCACCTCCTCCCCGAGTGCTTCCGGGGACCTGGGCGCCCGGCCCGGGGTGCATGCCCGTCCCAGGACGGGGTGCAGAGCCGGGCTCCTGCAGGGAGGCCGCCAGGGGAGGTGCAGGGCGCTGGCATGAGGAGTCCGGGGGTGACTCGCACCTGGTGTGCCCCGGGGAGGGCTCTGCCGTTGTGAGGCTGCTTTTCTTTGTCTTGGTGTGTGATGAGGTTCCTTCCCGTGTCGGGCACCCCCGCCCTCCAGCTCCAGCGGGCACAGGCGTGGCCACGGCGGAGCCCACACTGCCCGCACGGAGTTCCA